CTCTAGACAGCCAGCCTTTGGACTCTGTCCTTTCCAGGCGCAGGACCGAAGAGCCATCTGAGGCCACAGGAAAGATCCGGTGTGGAACTCCTACTAATCAGAACCGGATTCCACCAGAGTAGAGGCAGCAGATTAAGGGAACTGAAATACTCCCACGGACCTAAGGCTGACATACCTCAGTGTGGGAATCAGCAGGTGATGCCTATGAGGGGGTGGGGAAGGAAGTCACTGGACTTTGACTCTAACTTCTTGGCTTGGGGTGCCCCGGAAGTGGCAACTTGTATGTGCTATTTTCACACTCTTTGCCTTTTCAGCTACGTCTGCCTTTGTGAATATTTTTGAAAGTTGTTCCCTATCTTCAACCCTTATTGCTTGTGTAAAGTGTTCAGTCACCTAAATTGCTTACCTGTACAAACCAGCAATCCATGTATTTTGGTCTAAAAAGCTGTCATCTACATGCTTTTTCTGGACACTCTTAAATGACAGATCATTTGATAAATCAGCGGGGATATCAATCGCACTACCACGGGGATCATTGGTAATGTTCTTTAAAAAAAATATATAGTGTCTTTAAAGTGAACCAGGGATCTCTCGGAATGGATTTTGTGTTTGCACTTAGTTGTAGCCCTAATCTATGAGCCATTCGTTTTTATGACACGGGCCTGCTCAGTACCTACCCTACTTCCACACCCCCCAGCTGGAAGCGATCACTGGAGACATGGGTGCCATCACAAGTGTGGTGAAGGAGGCGGCCGGGGCCCCAGCGATCAGAGAACTGCATTTGGGGTGTTAAGGCTTGTCTTGAAACAAGTAGCCTAAGGCTTCACACAGAAGCACACCAGTTTATTGCCCTAAGAATTGTAAATAATAAAACCCAAACCTGGCAGAGGGAATGGTAGTAGAGCTTAAACTCAGAACCCCTGGTTTGCGGAAGGCTATGGATGACAGTGAAAACCCATTCACCAAGTCCTCCGTGCAGACGAACCCTCTGCAGAATCTCCTTGGACGAGGGACGATGAAGGGAAAGGCCTTGTATTAGACAGAGTGCATTGCAGGGAACTTCAGTTGTAGTTGTCAAATGTGACACCCTGCCTGACATTGCTACAATGTATACTTGTTCAGGGTTTTAATGTTTTCGAGTGAGGTTTTTTGGCTGATGGGCTGTTTGTATTTTGAGTGTTGTCTGTTTTTCCGTATGTGAAACTCAGGATAGGTTAATCTACAACGAGATGACTAGATTCAAAGGATATAGAGAGTCTGGCAGGAAGTGGGGAGCTAACCAAGCACAAAGAAACGTCCTGGAAGTGACGGTGATGGTTGCACACTGGTATGAACGGGCCTGAATTACTGAAACGTACGGCAGTAGAAGGGACCAGGTATCAGCCATCAAAGAACAAAAAATCATATCAGTGTGCCCACCTCCCTGATACAATCGCTGAAGACAAATGGGTGCATATGCAAATGTGGTGAAGAAAGCTGATGGTGCCTGGCTATCAAAAAGATATAGCACCTGGGGTCTTAAAGGCTTGAAGGTAAACAAGCGGCCTTCTAGCTCAGAAGCGACAAAGTCCACATGGAGGAAGCACACCAGCCTGTGCAATCACAAGGTGCCGAAGGGATCAGGTATCAGGCATCATCAGCACAAAAAATCATTATCATTGTGAATGAGGGGGGTGAAGTACAGTGAAGACCCAAAGCCCATTTGTAGGCCACTGGACATCCCCTTACAGAAAGGTCTTGGGGATGAGACGAGCCAGTCAGGGTGTGATGTAGCAACGATGAAACATACAACTTTCCTCTAGTTTCCTGCTTAGGACTTGCGCTTTTTGATATGATCGAATCCAGGAAATCCTATTATTTAAGATTTCTCCACTCCCGTCTGTTCCTATCCAAGCTCTGATTTGGTTGACTGCTCCTTTTCGGGTCTTTTCTTCCCTTCTTGTGTATTTCTGCTGCACATACTGGGCGCTTCCTCTGCTAAACTTGTGAATGAGGTAGGGGATACATTTCACATCAATTTGTAGTCAACAACTTAAACCACTGATTCCACCTCCCAGGAGCTGGCCCCCTGGTTCCCCTTCCCTGTCTTGTAGTAAACGTATGATCCCCCTTCACCAAAGGCAGCACCGGTCTACTGCCTTACTTCACTTTCCCTCCTCCCTTCTCATAACTGTCCAAGTCTGTGTCTTTTGGCATGAAAACCTTTCTTGACTTTGTAACAATGGCCTCATGCAGTGTTTGCCCTTTTTTGGCTGACTCATTTCACCCAGAATGTTCTGTGACGAGGTGCTTTGCAGTTCCACCATTATTCTTTAATGATGCAGAGCTCCACGGTGTCCGAAGTTTCTCTGTCCATTCTTCCACCTATGGGCGTTTAGGCTGTTTCCACCTTGCTATTGAGCAGTGCTGCCATGGTCATGGGTGTGCACATGCCTGTTCGTGCTATGGCTCTCATCTCTTTAGGGCACAGAGACCCGGCAAAGGGATTGCTGGGTCCTATGGCAATTCTATATAGGGCCCTTCTTTTAAAGTTCTCATCAGTGGTGTCCAATCTAGTTCACTCAGTTATTCAATTTTGAATCTGCTTGATTCTTTTCTTTTACTTGAAGTTTTGCTTATTTAAAATTTTTGCTCCACTGTATTTACTTTTATTCCTTGGTTGGCCTTTTGACATTTTAGCATCAATTTTCTACACTCTGCATCCACTTCCTGACGTCATTTGAACATTTTTGTCTTTGTCCCCTTAGGTTGCGACCTCACAGTTGGGTGGGCTACATCTTTGGGAGTCCTGTGAGACTCAACTGAGGACAACCCCCACGCCCCCGGAGTGACCATCTGCGTCTGCTTTCCCCAGGCACCCAGGGCTGCCCCAAAGGAGGCTCTCTTTAAATTCCTGGGAGGAATTCCCACCCACCCTACCCCCAACTTGCCTTCAGTTCAGATCACTACAGATTTCCAGATAGATTTTTTTTTTACGTGCCACTGGGCTATTACATACCCAAGTTCCAGGTGACTTCTTTAAGCTTCAGTTTCTCCATCTGAAAGATGGAACAAACAATACACTATAGCGTTAGTTACGTGCACATTTGTAAGGTATTTAGTGGAAAGCCTAGCAGAGTAACTGATAAATATTAGTGTGAGCTACCATTGTTCTTATTATCAATCAGCAAGTGGTCTGACCAATCCCCTGGAAAGACTTGATGCTCGGCAGAGGTCAGTGGACAAGAGGACGCCCCTTGGCGAGACAGACTGACACAGTGGCTCCACCAACGGGTGCAAACAGCACTGTGAGGGTGGAGCAGACTGGGCAGCGCTTCTTTCGGTTGTTCCTAAGGCCACCTCGTCACCAGCACGACCACCGGTGGTTTGAGGGAAGGCACGACTATAGTAGTCTTTCCTTTTGACTTGAACATAGCGCTGGCTGCAAACAGGTCCATGAGCGTTGGATGAACGCATAGCTCCTAGACTTGGGAAACTGTCTCACGCCTTCATTTGCTGTAGGTATAAATATGAAGCCCATTGGAGGACTTGATTTTTAGTCCTTGCTGCTAAAACACCCAACAAACATGAGTTTTGGCAAGCAGTGTGAGATGGAAAAATATACACGAAAGTGTAGATAAAGGGCCCTATCTGGATTGCTAGGTACTTAAACGACCCTAGAAGCTTTTCAATGTGGTTATAGTGGGATGGAAAAAGTGGTTAACTTTTAAAAGTAAGTGAACACTGTAGTTTGAGAAAACATGCTTTATAACAGGGAATTACTTGAAAAGTAAGTACAGCTACACCTATGAGGATTTGCTTACCTGAAGGAGTGGGCTTGTTTGGTGAGCTGGTTCAACCTAGAACCATTTGTTTCCACAGAAATAAAGTCACAAAGAAGGGGCAAAAATATGAATCAGGGGAAATAAATTCCTACGATTTAACTTTAATAAGAAATAATCCACTCTAAGTGTGCTGTGAGAGACCATCTTCTCTATACCAGATGTTTTCATTCCACTTTCCCACAAATGTTTTGAAGCCGTTTTGTGTTTCTGTGTATACAAGCAAGGTACAGGAGGACAGTGTACATGCATTCTATTATTCTTAACCCACCACCATGCAAATGTAGTGCCAACTCAAAAGCAGCCTCCAATATTGTCTTGTTCTGCTTTTGAAGAATAACCATTCCTAACAACTCTTAAGGTAAAGCTGTTCATTTACCAAAAAAAAAACAAAAAAAAACCAAACAAACAGACAATTGCTGTAATTAAGAACTGGATAGAGATGGTTGTTTGGAGGATGAATTATGAAAATTTAGGGTAGTATGAACACCAGCCCATCACTCTTTGATGAGGTTTCTGAGAAGCCAAAGAAAGGCCAACTGCGGAGGGAGAGGGGCCGAGTCCACTAGGTGGCAGAGTCGTGCCCACCTCCTGCCGTGCTGCTCAGGCTTGTCTGCAAAGGTGCCTCTTCCAGCAGATGGCAACGTCCTCACGGGTCTTCAGACTCAGCCTGGCACTCGATAAGCCTTGTTCATTAAGCGCACAGGAATCTGAGAGCAGAGTAGGAAATGCCCCCCCAAAGCATTCTGTCCTTCAGTGCAGCTTTATCTTAGCATAAAAGTCATATTTTAGATGACAGACCCCATAAGAAAAGTCAAAATTAATTCCAGACCATATGAATCACTACAGGCTGTTTCCACTTTCAGTCTTTATGCCCATGCATGATTACAGTATCTCTTTACACCCAAACTGTAGCCGAATGCGGGCCTACCTGATTTGTCCATATGGGTGGGCTCTACTAGCTTTAGGAATTCTACATTTTTGAACAAGGGGTTCTTAGCTTAAAAAAAAAACAACACTACAGGATCAGAGATGACAATGACGTCCACATCGTTTATACAAACCACACCGCCTTGGATATTAGGGAAATAAGTTGTCCGTCTGTTTTGGCCATTAGCCAAGTTTCTACCAAGATTTAAAGCAACCAAGGAAAGAGAGTGAAATCACACAGAGGAAGCATCTTTTTCAAATGTCACATTTAATGTTTTCACCACTGTACTTCAAATCTACATTGTACAAAGTGACCAGTGAGTGTGCCACGGTAATTGACCAACCTCTGAGATTGTACCTTTCACACCAGTGTCTTCTTGGGCTCTTTTGATACTAACACGTTTCTCATTCAAGTGAATTGAAATGCTTCAGCTGGGTTGATTCTCAGGAGCCTCATAAAAAAAAAACAAAGATATTGCACCATCTTTGTTTAGTAATTCAACGTTGGTTTCTTTCACAGCAATAATTACTTCATTGAAGTTAAAACTTCCAAACATAACTTATTAAGAGTCTTCAAATTCAGCTCAGATCACTCAAGATGAAACTCTCTGCTAGATACAGATAACTTACAATAACTTTAACAGTTAGTTGTCCAGAACACACACCAAGGTTTTTCCCTAGACCAATTATAAGACGATCCGTTAGTATACCTTGTACAGGTGAAAAACAATCTTCAATTTTCTTGTCTTTTTTTTTAATATAAAAGTTGGAAGGGACATTCAAGTTTCAAGTCTCCACATTGAACTTAAAAAAAAAAAATCATCATCATCATCATCATCAGCATGTGGAGGTAAACAAGCCAAGTTGTATAACTCCAGGAGGTAGAGGCCTTCAATTTGCATCCATATATACATATGCACAGAAGAATTCAGTGTTCCAACAGAAACAAGTTTGTCCGAAAGGAATGAGCTATTGACGACTGTGACATTTCCAGACCCCCAGCTCTGCCTGAGGACAGACACAGTTGACATCACTCCCTATGTGCCTTTTTGTGTGTGGCTTTCGTTTTTTATTTTTTTTGAATCTGTTTTTGTCTTTAAATATTTTTTTTCAAAAAAAAAAAAAAAAAGAAAAAAAGTTTTTATTAAACTGTCCAGTGCAGGAAAAGTCTCACAAAACTTCACAGACCTGAAATGTGCAAGCTAGTTCTCTGTGTACAGCGATCGATGTTGGGATTCTTTTGAAATTAGTCCAGAAATGAACTATTTACACACATGAAAGATGCATGCCTTGGGGTTCTTTTATGTAAGAAAGAGCAGAAAAACTTCTAATAAAAATAGATTAAATATATATATATATATTTATACTGGGGAAGGGGGGAAAAAGTTTCACCTCTCCTAGTCACAAACGCATTCTCTCTACCCAAAACATTTGATTTGAGACAGCACACATCACCATCACGGTGCTAATGAAGCTAATCATAGGGCCTGATCATGAGGTGGCATGCCTCGACCCTTCCCCCCCAAGGACAGCCATGACCAGCTCATGTGGCTCCAGGATTGGTCGCAGACAAGGTCTCTACATGTTTCGGATTTAGAAAATCCCAAATCTTCAGGAATGGCTCAAATATCAAAATGTGTGACTGTCATGTGTGTTTATATGTGTGTGTGTGTCTGTGTGTGTGTGAACAATCTCACTTCATTAAAAAAAAAGAAACAAACAAACAAACAAACAAAAAACCCCAACAGAAACATAAAACCCCAGACTCCCAAATTTGGTTCAGTTCTCGTTTGTTCTGCGTGAGCCATAACAGCTGCACTGAATTCATACAACATGTGCAACTCTGGGGAAAATAGGTTCCTAAAAGCACAACCACTTTACAAGATTAAAAGTCTAGTAACATTTCTAAATATCATTCATATCATACAAGTAGTGGTTGTTAATTTAAAACTTCATTAGTAAAATTACAGTACAGGCATGATTAACCTCCAGAATTGCAAATCCCAGACTCCAGTGGAAAGCTACATTACATCTTCAGTAGTACATATTCTCTTCCACCGTCACTCCCACACCAGGGGCGAGGGGGGCATCTCAGACGGCTGGGCAACAGTGGAACTGGAAGGAGAGGAGAGAGACGGTGAGATCAGGGGTGCAGCCTAGAGCTGACACTCAGGGTGGACCCTAAAATAACCATTGAGATGGGCCTGGGCTTGGACTCTGGATTTCTCTTAACTTCTCAAAAGTGGCATTTGTTCCAAAATCGTTAAAAAAGATCTGCATCTATAGTGATGTTGTACAGCGGCTAATCTGAGAGGGCTTAATGGGAATGGGAAAATGCCATTACCTTCTATGTCCATCCTTCCAGGAACTTTTGGAAGCCCCATGATTCATCAACTCGGAAACCACTTGTTATTGACTGGCTGTGCAGGACTGAGCAAGCTCCCACATGTCCCACATATGCTAGGCCTATGCATCCTCAGTTAACTACATATGCTAGGCCTATGTGTCCTCAGTTAACCACATATGCTAGGCCTATGCGTCCTCAGTTAACCACACATGCTAGGCCTATGCATCTTCAGTTAACCACATATGCTAGGCCTATGTGTCCTCAGTTAACCACATATGCGAGGCCTATGCGTCCTCAGTTAACAAGGGACAGTGTGATTTCCAGGCCAGTGTGCTGAATACATGGAGATAATATCTATAAAGTGATTTGCACAGTATCTACTATAGGAAACAGAACATAGCAATTATAAATAATAACATCTATAACCAATCAGGGAAGACGACATTAAGGGATGCAGCATGAACCATTTAAATTCTGCCTCTGAAAACCCAGTCACTTAATTGGAGAGCTATTTTCAATGAGCCTCATAAGATTCTTCTATCATGTTTTAATGGACTAGACTGGCTAACAGTTATCATTTATTATCCACAGAGCTACAGTACCCATTACCAGACACCCCATGAGTATGTGTAATGTTGCTAAGGAGACTCTGAATTTTGAGGGGTGTGTGCAACTGATTTGCATCCCCAGGGCCCAGGATAATGAAGGACCTGCACCTGGGAAGTGACTTCATAACTGGCTCTGAGGGAAAGTAGAAAAACAGTATCATTTACAGCCCCAGGGAGGTAAAAAGGGCAACTTAATGCTTTCTACAGAAAGACGTAAGAAATGCAAGGCACATGATTTTAAAAACTCCAAACAAACAATGCTGACTTGTGTTCCAACAATTTCCATGCAGGAAAAGGACCGTGAGGGTGGGTGGAGGGCGGAGAAGCAGGAGACAGGAGGAGCAGAGGGCAGGCAGCCACGGGAGGGGGCAGAGCACGGTCGTTAACCAGTTATCCCGTAGATCCGAATCCACCTTTCTTTGTGCTCGCCCTTTGAGACATTGAAGCCGGACGCTGAGCACATTTCGCTGCTGCCACCTGGGTTGATGTTAGCTTTTGTCAGTAGAGGGCACGGCAAGGCAGCATTTGATAGCTAGGAACCAGAGGCTGGCGCTTCAGGGCCTGGCAAGATTCTCTGCGGTCCAGCAAGCCTCCTTGCAAGACCAGTGCCACGCTGTTGGCTTATTTCCTCGCCCCTTTGTGCTGTGGGTCCCCGTGGCAGCCCTGACCTCTCCTGAGAGGGAAGCTTTGGGTGCGCGGGAAGACTTCCAAGCTCCTTGTTCGCACTGCTCGGCCTACACTAGAGGAAGAAGTTGCGTTCTGCATTTGCTGTATCAAGACCCTCCAGATTTTTTTCTTGGACCCTTCTAGTAGGTAATTATTTTTCTACTCAACAGTTTCTGTTACTAAAAATTTCTGTTTTTATTACTGGTGTAGCTTTCCTATGAACTGGACCCTAAATGACCTAAGAGTTCTGGGAGAAGAGATCAAGAAAGGGGAGAACAAAGAGATACCAAGGCCGAGGGCCACTGGGGCTCAAAGTAGTTCGCAGTTCTTACACCAACTAAGCCTGCTGGTTTCTCCTCTAACCAGGCTGCACCAGCAGTCCACCTGTAAAAAAGAGGCACTGTCTTGCTGGCAGCTATTACTGTAACACCAGGGGCTGGGATGTGATGGGGCCTGAGGCGACCCTGGGTGACTTCAGGGTAGGTGGCTGCTACACCCCCGGCTGCAGCAGGAGCCCCATGTACATCTTCACGCAGCACAATGGTCCTCTGGGGGGAAAGCCTTCCCAGGAACCCCCAGTGCACTGGGGTCTTTCCTATTGTGTAACTGGATCTTTCGTACGCGGAGTAACAAAAGTCAGAGGCCCCCTTGAGTTCAAACAGCAGCGGCAGCATCACCGTCCCATAGTTACCTAATAAAGCTCTTGAAAGCAGCAGACTGCGGGTTGATGCAGAGAGGCACTCTGTTCCCTTTCTGCTGCTCCAGAATGAACCGGTGGATGATCTCTGCGGAGCAAAGACACACCATGTAACCCGCGTCCACCCGCAGGCCGGAGCAGCGGATGCTCACAGCGTCTCCCATTTGTTTCCTTACACCAGCACGTAAGCCGCCTACCAGGCCGCACCCAGCAGAACTGCCCACGGTCACCGGGACGGCCACCTGCTGGCAAAAGCAGCAGCAGCAGCAACAAAAATTCAACCAAACCAAACCAAAACCAGCCCTTCCATTACACAAATTAGAGGTCCATGGGGGGAGTAAAATGGTCTACAAACTGGAGGGTGATTCTCCAAAACTTGGCGCTGTGGGTGATCACACTGTCTTTTAAAAGAACACTTAACAAAAGTATTCAGAATTTGGCTGTCTGTACCCCTCATTTCCACCCGACCAGGACATTTTACAACTAAACTATCAAAAATTCCTTCCTCTTATCATTATCCAAGAAATGATGCCCTTGACTGGATCTTATCCTTCTTTAGATCTTGCCTGTGATATAAAAAGGAACTCTTATATTCTCCACTCTGTGACATTAAATCGAGGAGGATGCCCTCATTAAGAAAGACTGCTTTGAAAACAAGAACAAAATACGCAGTCCTCTGCTTGACCTTCCCCTGGATGTAATATTACGTCAGTATTTGTATACCACTTATAGCTTCTTTGGCATGTATGCCTTGGACAAGCAGCTGCATGCAAGATGATGAATTAAAGATAAGCAGGTGCTCTGGGCACCAGTCAGGGCTCAGAGTGCCAAAGAGTAGAAAATGCTACTGGTCAGAGGCTCATGAAGATACTCACCTTTAACCTGTCGAACAGAACTAAGGTTCTTCTCAAAAGTGTCATCAAATTTGGGGTTGGTGACGGGCTCAAAGTCACTGGTGTAAACTCTCCCAGTGGAGGTGGAAAAGCAGCATTCACACATGCAGGTGTGATAGCGGAGCCGCCCTTCATCTAGGTAGGGGTGGGCTAAGGCATCCTTAGCGGATATTCTTTTGGACTGCAATCAAAGCAAGAGACCAGCACACATCAGCACTACAGGTAAACACCACTGTCCACACAGGGTCTTTCTGAAGGCGCAGTCACTGCTTTACCCGGCTCGGCTGGCAGGTAACTGACAGCACCTCCTCTGTACAATGGGATAACTGAATTTAGAGGTAGGTAACACACCAGGAGAGGGAGCTTCACCACCCAGGCCTGTGAAGGACTGAGGGCCACCCTGCTAGCATAGGCAACAGTTCCTACCCTGAACCAGATGTACACAGACTCAGAAATGACAAATACCACGACCTTTAAAAATGTAACGCACTTTGAAAGGAGTAAGTTTACATTTTAAATAACAGCCCCTCATGTATTCTAAATATGTCCCATGCGTCTGTTCTCTTAGAATACCAAACAGACCAGGGCAGAAGCATGTCTGAAAGCTGGAGCTTGCGTGAGGCAGCGGATCTCGGTGAGGAGAGCAGCTCCCGCCACCTGGCTCAGCGGAGGACTGTAGGGTGCAGCCTGGGCCGGGGTCTCCTAGCACTTTGGATCTTAATTCCCAGTACACTAATTTCAGGTTTACATCCACCATACATGTTTTTTGAACTCATTATTTCATTTTTTTAAAAAAGAAAAAATGCCTCCCACTTAGCTTAGTGGACATATAAATACTATTGAGAGGAAGTGGGTTTTAAAGATTTAAAGATGGATTCAAGAGTACAGAGTGGAACAACAACTGTGACTTTGCCACTATTTCCATTATCACCAAGCACCTCACATAACACACACACACACACACACACACACACACACTCTCTCTCTCTCTCTCTCTCTCTCTCATTCTAAATAAAACTAAAAACACCTGGGTCATCCTCACTGGTTCTAACCCCGCAAATAATAAAATGTTTGTCTAGGGATCTAATAATTCAGGAAAGTTGAGGGTGAATGTGGCGCTGAAAGGTTTTTTAAGTGTTTTCCCCACCATGGCTATAGCATGGCTTATGCTGGTATGTTCTATGTCTACCAACCTGGATTTCACTACAGGGTTGGATTTAAGAGACGCTTTAGAGCAAAAAAAATAAAAATAAAAAGCATAGTAAGACCCTAGGCTCCAGTGTTCAGCTTTGTTTTATTTCGCAGAACAAATGAATGGCTCCTTAAAATTTTACTCATGCTTAAGCTGAAAAGCAAAGACCAACTTTAACTATGAATTTAAAATAAACTTCTTTGTTACCAGGTTATAAAATAAGAAGCGAAACACCAGGGCAAGTCACGGCACAGCTACCAGGGGTCTGGTTCTGACACGGGCGAGCTTACACCCAATGGAAAGCACCGCCCTGCTCTGGTTGGTTGCAGACAAGCAGTCTCACACTTGTCTGAGTCTCCTCAGGGCAAATCAAAACACGCGACTGGCTTCCGAGGGGATCAGGTGAGCCAGTTACATTCAAGGCAAAGATGTCAGTGACTGTTTTTCAGTTTTGGTGGATTTTCTAAAAGGACACAGGACAGTAACAGGGGCTTAATATGAAGAAGGGGTACGGAAACGGAAAATTGCACTGATGAGAAAAAGCCAAGGAAGGGTGCACCCAGGCATCTTTTTTTCATCACAGCAACGCACCTGCTCATTCTTCAAGGGCAGCAAGAGCTGCCCCGCGAATTTCACTGGGAGACCGGGTCCTGTCCAGCCTGCAGACTTCTTTTCCTTCCCTAAACCCAGAATGGACACAATTTGTGTCCCTCAAAGATGCTAAAACTCTCATTTTGATAGGGTGTAAGTGCGAAGGATGCAGAATTCTTCAGGGGAAGAGTTAGAGATGGAGGACATGTCAAGAAACAACTGCTTCACATTTGAATGATTTTGATTAATAAGGGTCTCTATGGGTTTTATAGCAATACTTTTGGACTCACCTTTGTATTATTTGTAGCCATTTTAAGTTTTAACAGTAAGTATGTAATTTTACATTAGGAGCCTTGGTAAGTGCTCAACTGAAAGACCGGTAGTTCGAACCCACTCAGTGGCTCGTGCGAGAAAGACCTGACTGCTGAGTGGGGACGTTAGGGTCAGAGGCTAGCTTCAAAAGGGCTCCAGGACAGAGAGCCATCTCCTGGGGATCAGGCACCACCCAACCTGGGAATGTCTTGGACGGAGCCGGCCTAAGCCCCTGCAGCTGCAGCTCCACCCCTCCCTCCGGGTTCCTCCTCCTGACCACTGGTAGGCGGGACTTCACCAACTCCTGGCTGGAGCCCAGGAATCTCGCCAGGAGCTCAAAACAAACTCCTTTTCCTTCTCTCTGGCCTAGCGTCAGTTGATCTTTGTGGAGAACCTAACGCGGGCTATGTGCTTCTGTGAAGACTACAGACCCCCAGACCGGCTATGGGGGTAGCTTTACTCTGTCACCGGAGTTGCTGTGTGGAACTACGATATAAGACACAGGAGTCCTGGGACAGTCCCATGCAAGCTGCTTCTGTGGAAAAATGACAGGTTCCCCTAGATTTATACTGGCCTTCTGACAAAAGTCAAACACCTCGCTTTCTTTTGTTTTAAAGTTTCCATTATCAATGCCTTTTATTATCATTTTCATTTGAGGTGTGCATGCGAAAGATACCATACCAAGTTATGCATTGACTGTAGTATTTATCATAAGATGCACAAAACCAAAAAGCGGATGGTTATAAAGGCTGTCTGTATGTGGTAAATCGAAAATGTTGTAAACCAGGGTCTGCCTGTATTATGACTAAATAGTGGTAAAAAGATACTCATACCTTCTTCCAGAGTTTACTGCTTTGTAAAAATAATGCTGGCCGAACTGGAAACACAGGGAACCCAGGGCGGATGAGCCCTACAGGACCAGTGGTGAGAGTGGCGATACTGGGAGCGTAGAGGGAGAGTGGGTTGGAAAGAGGGAACCAATTACAAGGATCTACATGTTACCTCCTCCCTGGGGGACGGACAACCGAAAAGTGGGTGAAGGGAGACGTCGGACAGGGCAATATATGACAAAATAATAATTTATAAATTATCAAGGGCTCATGAGGGAGTGGGGAGCGGGGAAGGAAGGGAAAAATGAGGACCTGATGCCGGGGGCTTAAGTGGAGAGGAAATGTTTTGAGAATGATGAGGGCAATGAATGTACAAATGCATTTTACACAATTGATGTATGTATGGATTGTGATAAGAGTTGTATGAGCCCCTAATAAAATGATTAAAAATAAATAAATAATGCTGGCCCAAAACAGATTATCCTGGTTTATACAAGTTTTGGATTTTCTCACAAAAAGTCTTAATTATTTTGAATTTTGAATTAATTTTTTTTTTACTAGGGGTATTGCTTACAGGACTGCAAAACCATGTGTTCAATGAAATTGTATAATAGAAAGTGTGTCTAAAAAAAAAAACCCTTCATGCATCACCATAATGAAAAATCAGGAAAATGAAATTTAACATTAAGATCTTACTAATATAGGTCAGTTAATAAATATGATTTGGCTATCAGGACTACATACTTTTAATATAAACAGGCTCTTCATGAGCCATTAGTAAACAGCTAAACCAAAAGATCTGCAAGTAGGAATATTATGTGATTTTAAAAAAAAGTAGGTGAAATGTCCTTAAAAGACAATGGTGATGTTTTTGTCAGTGGAAAAAGTAGATGATCTTGTCTAAAAGTAAAAATGTTCTAATAGGGCTATAATATGAAAGAAGCAGTAAAACAAAGAAACAAAAAATAAATAAATCAAGAACAATCCCACTGAGTTGATGCAGAGCTGCCCGGCAGGGTCTCTGGCTGTAAACCGTCCTGGAAGCAGGCTGCCACATGTGTCTCCTGTGCAGTGGCTGGTGGGATCGGCTGCCCACCTTCTAGTTGACAGCTGAGTACTTTATCTGCCGTGACACCAAGGGCTCGCAAAGAAGCAATGACATGGGTTAGTTTTCAAAGTGGGCTCAATGTTGTCACGTTTACTCACGAAGAAAAAACAAGCTTATACATTGTTCTGTGGATGTTTTAAATGAAGTAACAATAGAATTTGAGGGGTTTTTTTCTTATGAAACAAAGACAGTATTTTATACTCATATTACAGGTCCCCTTTTTCAGCAAAATATTCCATTAACTCTGAGTTTTTGTTCAAACACCTAGTCATTAATATTTGTTGTTGGCGGTCTCTAGGTGGCGCACACAGCTTGTGCTCGCCTGCTAAGCAAAAGGTTTGTGGTCAAACACACTGGGTGAGACCAGAGAGCTACTGGGTTTTGCCAACAGCCCAGAAAGCTTGGGCAGCTCTAGTCTGTAACTCCCGGGATGGCCTTGATTGGGTTGGAGTCAATTCAATGGCAACTAACAACTTACTGTATTGAGAAAGTATTACCAGCAGCTATTTATTGATTTTTGATACTTTTGACTTTAAAGAGTCCTACCTCACATGCATACACTGTCTCCTCTGACAACAGTGAATTCAGAATAGTCCAATTGCAGTTTCCTGGATGGCTATTACATAACAAAGGGCTTTCTTTCTTTCTTGACCTTATAAAAGGAAGGATGCATGGCAACAAATGTACAAATGTGCTCGACACAATGGACAGATGGATGGACTGTGATAAGAACTGTATGAGCCCCAATAAAATGATGGAAAAAACAAAAGCAAAAAAAAGAGGAAGGATACTAAAATAATTAGTATTATATTCTCTAGATATCTGACCAGCCCAGTATTGTAATTAATGAGAGCTATCCTGTTAATAAATTTTAAAAGCTCAGCTTTCCAGTGATCAATATAAATAAGTAAAATGGGTTAATATAATTATATTGTATTCTTCTCAAGGTAAGAGAAACATTCTGATCGGGGACAAGACTTTTTTTAAAACGGGAAAAAATATTCAGAGGAGCCGATATTAAGGGCTCAAGTAGAAGGCAAATGTTCTGAGAATGATGATGGCAACAAATGTACATATGTGCCTGGCACAATGTATGTATGTATGGATTGTGATAAGAATTGTACGAGCCTCCAATAACATGATTTAAAATAATAATAATAAAATGCAATAAATAAATAAAATGCCATCTTGAACAATGGGGGAAAATTCATTTCTTGGTTTAAATACAATTGTTAGTTGACATTTATAATGCATTTGTGAAATAATTTAAAGGCTCTTCACGGTTTCAAGGTAATGAAGGACTAAATGTACAAAAAGCAATTACTTATTATACCAAACCCTCTATAATATTGTGTTACTAAAAAGATCCAGAGTCCATGAATCCTATTATCTTCTGGTGGTTTCTGCTCTCCCCTTAGAGGTGCCTAAAAGACCTGCTACAAGTTAAAGACAGAGCAGAGGCGCCCGTGAGAAACAGCAGAAGACTGCAGCAAAGGCCTGGTCCTGTACTGACTGCGGTCGTCAGGGCTGCTAACACCGCCTCCAACAAACGCCTGCTCAGCTGAGCGGGGGAACTGGCTGAGTCGGCTTTCCACGAAGGTTTCAGTGCAGAAGCAGGCCATTCATGGCAGAAGAGTAACAAACAAGGCTAATTCCCTCAGATTAAAAGGACTAACCAAACCGATGTAATCATCGCTGATGTGCTATCGTTAACGGAACAAAACAGACACAAGCACACCTCCCTGCTTTCTTCTGGGCCCGCACAGCGCACTGTCACTGCGCCAATTCCCCCTCAGTGAGTCTGCAGACTAAGCGTATCCCAGGCTGTACTACTCTTCACAGGAGCAGACAGCCTCATCCAGAGGCGGGTGGGTTTGAAGCATCCATCGACTCTGTGGTCAGCCGTCCGAGGCTTACCCACAGCACCACCAGGGCCTCCACTACAATGTCTTGCCTTTTAAAATGAAAATGCAGTTATTATTATTATTATTTTTAATCATTTTATTGGGGACACTTATAGCTCTTATCACATCCACCCATTGTGTCAAACAAATCCGTACATATGATGCCACCATCATTTTCAATTTACTTGAGCCTTGATATCAGCTCATTTTCCCCCTCTCTCCCTCACGAACCCTTGATAATTTATAAATTATTACTTATTCAAGTCTTTTTTTTTCTTTTAAAAGTTATTTTATTGGGAGGGGAAAAATGAGGACCTAATGTCAGGGGTTTAAGTGGAGAGAAAATGTTTTGAGAAACGATGTACAAATGCGCTTTACACAACTGATGTGTGTATGGATTGGGATAACAGTTATATGAGCCCCTAATAAAATGTTAAAAAAAATTTTTATTTTATTGGGGGATCGTACAACTCTTATCACAATCCATCCATCCATCCATTGTGTCAAGCACATTTGTACATTTGTTGCTATCATCATTCTCAAAACATTTGCTTTCTACTTAAGCCTTTGGTATCAGCTCCTCGTTTTCCTTTCCCTCCCTCACCCTTGATAATTTATAAATTATTATTATTATTATTTTATGTCTTATACCAACTGCCTGTCTCCCTTCACCCACTTTTCTGTTGTCCACCCCCCTGGGAGGGGATTATATGTCGATCATTGTAATTGGTTTCCTCTTTCTCCCCCCACCTTCCCCTTACCCTCCTGGTATCACTACTCTCATTACTGGTCCTGAGGGGTTTATCTGTTCCGGATTCCCTGTGTTTCCAGCTCTGATCTGTACCAGTGTGCATGCTCTGGTCTAGCTGGATTTCGAGGAATACCGAAAATGTAGTTATTTTAAGTTCACTAAGACTCCATCTTCCTTCTTACCAAATACATTTACTTCTTCTTACAGCTAAATTTAATTTGTAACGAGGACCACACCAGAAATTTCATTTGATTAGGACCGGCAATCCCACTGCTAAGGAGTAAGGGACTGTACTGTACTTCCCAGGTGTATGCAACCTCTACAGGCCTCTCAGGAAGAGGGCTTGCTCTGAGACTCACGAAGTCACTGCCTTCAAGGCAGGGCTGGAACGTGAATGAGCTTGGGTTCTTCGAGAAAGCAAGTATCGTGCAGAGAGAATTTCGTAGAGGAGAAGTAGAGTCTGGCTTCCTAATCTAAGTAGGAAGTACTAACGAGAGTAAAACGATTTCTGACCTGTAAAAGTGAATTTTAATCCTGGGGCCTTTACAAAGTCCTCGGAGGGCCAACAGAAACTCTGGAACCTGTATTTTATAGAGTTGAACTACACACACAGGGCCTTCTGCATTACCACCACTGCCACAGTCCACGCGCAAATAGCTTGTCAAGGACGACGAAACAGCACACTAATGTTAGGTACAAAATCACCAGCACATTGAAGCAAATTTTGTGATCACAATGACCCTAAACTACAAGGAGACCGTGGGAGCAAGAGCGGTCATTTTGCTTTGCTTTCATTACCACCAAGCACTTCACATACAAGGGCATACGCGTGCGTGTACATACCCACACCCCCAAAAAACCCCACCTCATTTTGTACTCTGAGGCTCCTCAAATACTAAGATCTTGACCACTTCTCATAAAACCTTTTATGCTGATTTTATTCTGCGGTGGGGGAAGGTAGTACTGAGTTCTGTGAAAATCATAACCAGGTGAGAAAGTTAGTGTCTTCTGATCATGACGAGCGGTAACTTTATCTTTGCTCGTTTTGTGGTTCCTTCTAGCTTTAAATACCTGTTGGATTTTATATTTGATGTGTCAGTCCTCTGACACCAGACTTTTGCTTTTCTAAATGCTCCCCTTTTAAGCCTTCCTTTGATAATAGTTGCTGGCACAGAAATGAATAATAAGTAGTCCATAGGTAACTGCAAACACGAAAGGCTGGACTTACGGTACAATTAGCAGCATGTCCCAAAAGCATAAGTCCCAAAATGATAATTGCAAAAGCTGCCAGCTAAGCACCCCAAGATCACACATATCCTTATGCAATATGTTGGCAGGTCTCATCAAACAATTTTACCTTTGCTTATCCAAGGATTTGACTTAGTTTGGTGTCAAACTCCTTCTATGAATCTTAAGATGAGTAGGAAGAAAGGGGGCTCGTGTGTGTTAATCATCAACTTTCCGTGTGACGAGTGAGCACGACAATGACACACATGCCATTATGGTTTGAGGTCTATTTTTTGTCACTGCTCGTCGAATCAAATCTATGCTTTTTTTCTAAGAACGCATGTATTTTTAATTCCTAAAAAAGAAAAATAAACACTACTTACTGGATCAAAGACCAACATCCTGCAAAGGAGATGAACAGCTTCATGTGTAGCCTGGCTTGACAGGGTATAAAGTACAGGAAGAGATGGCTGCAAGGAGGGAAAAAAGAATGCCAAATATTGAAGTGAGTCTGGGAGCACATGCATATGCACAACATTGTCCAATAATGACCCGATAACTCCCCAGGCTCCAGCGAGCAACGTGGACAGAGAATTAGTGTTCCTCTCGTTAACCAAGCTTCAATCTTACACTCTATGATAACACATTGTAGGTCATCGCACACAGTGTAGGAAAGACAAAAATGAATCCTGTAGAAAATATGGTGTTTCCACTAGCGTTATCCCTGGATTCTTTTGGCAAGCATGCTTTGGGATGAGAGAAGAAAAGACCTTGGGCATCTTTCTTTTATTTTATGTTTTTTACTTCAATAGAGCACCAAGTCTCTATTAAACTAAAAAATTGGGACCTGAAAACATTAATATGACCGACTTTCTGTCAAGGAACAAGATGTCCCTTGGCCCAAGGACCTGGCTCATGGTTACTTGGTGTCCTGTGGCTTTCCAGCACTGTGATGCTCCCCCTACTGGGCCTCAGAAGGGAATGTTTGGATTTTTTTCCCTAATAATTTTATTAGGGGCTCATACAACCCTTATCACAATCCATATATACATCAAGTGTGTAAAGTGCATTTGTACATTCATTGCCCTCATCATTCTCAAAACATTTCCTCTCCACTAAAGCCCCCGGCATTAGGTCCTCATTTTTCCCCTCCCTCCCCGCTCCCC